TCTCTCTCTCTCTTTCAGCTTGCCATTGTTTGCTTTTGGTATCAAGGTAATGCTCATTTTAGATTTCCTTGCTTTCATGTTTCTAGAAGCATTTGAGGAAAAATCAATGTTCAATTTCTTTATTGAGGAGGAGTAGGAGTTAAGCCTTGATGTTAAAACACCCATGTTCTGTATTGGAGTGCCTACATTCAATTCCAAGCTCTGGCTCCTGACTCCAGATTTTTGCCAGTGCATACCCTAGAAGACAGCAGTGGTGGCTCATGTAATTGGGTTCCTGGGTTCCTGTAAATGGGAGACCTGGATTGCATTCCCAGATCCTGGCTCTTGCCTTTGCCCAGCCTTGGCCACTACAGGCATTTGGGGAGTTAACCAGCCATTTTAAAAAAATGAAATTTACTCTTAACAAAATTTAAAAATTTAAGATCTATTACAGTATTCTTCACTTTATGTACACTGTTGTATATCAGATCTCTAGAATTTCAGCAAGCGTGATTGGCACCGTATACTTACTGAAGAGCAACTTCTCATTGCCGTGTCCCATCCCAACTCTTCCAGTCCCTGGAAGCCACCATTTTACTTCATTCTGCTTCTCTGAGTGTAACTTCTTGAGATACCTTATATTAAAAGAAGTGGGGGTGTGTGTGTGTATCTTTCTGTGAATGGCTTATCTCACTCAGCATGTCATCCTAAGAGTTCAGCCATATTGTAGCATGTGACCATAGCTAGAAGTTTTCATGCATGTTCAGTCAACTCTAGTTTTTAACTTGGTGATGATCATGTAATCTCACCATGACTCAGTTTCTCCATCAGCAACAAAGATAACAGTAGGTCATAGAGGGATGAACTTGTGAGTAATTAAAATAAGGATTTCATATGTAACTGATTCTGTAGCTCACACACTGCCTCATAGATGCCCTCAATTATAACACCTCTAACAAAACCTGAACCATTAGCAGAAGGGTATAATCCCAGCTGGTTAAAGGGCTTCATTGAGTGACCTTATTTCTTCTTTATTTTTTATTTCTTTTTTTTGCATAACAGAGTTCACTCTTGAATCCTCCAAGCCTTTCGAGAGTGTCTCAGGACAGGATATACTCAGGGCAGAAAGGAAGAGAATCAGAAAGGAGTCCAGCCATCTACAAAGGGCATTTCTGTCCCCCAAAGAGGAGACATTCCGAGCCAGCTTTCACCTGGCCCTGTGACATAGCCCATTCTGGGATTGTTACTATGGAAACATGCCACGGTGCTAGGAATAAAGCTTGAGAAAATGGAAACACAACATTCCAGAAGTCTTGCAGGCTGGGAAGCAGAAGTTCTGACTTTGTTCCCAAGACCTCTTACAGTGGCTGACTTGATGAAACTCTGTCTCATTGTCACCAAGTAGACATGGGGGCTGACAGAATTTACAGGGACTGTGCAGAAAGTGACTTCATGAGATCTCTGGACAAAAGTGGTAGATTTATATTAGATGTGATCATTTATCTCTCCATCTTGGAAACCAGAAAACTTGCCACCATCTGAGCTCTCCTGTGGATCTCGTGATCATGTCAGCTTCTCTGGGGCAGGGAACAAGGATCCTGGCTTTAACTCTGCTTTCTCCACGACCCCTCCTCACTGTGGGCTCCTGGCTCCGTTTCAGCCCATCTGGGAACTTCCTCTCCAGCAGCTTCCTGTCTCCCTAGTGTTCAGAGAACACTGGGCCTTGGGGGCCTTTCCAGACATGCATTGCAGTGGTTAGAACAGCCCTGCCTGTGAATCCTGGGTCGGAGGACATCTCCTCCTGTTTCCCCACATTGCTGTGCCTCTCTCTAGACAGACCCTTGGGGACACTGTCAAGCTTCAGTTCACCTGGCTGGTTTTCATCTTTCTTTCAGTTAAATCAGCTGTGACACCAGGCAGACATGCTTCCCGGGGTGGGTGGGGTGGGGTGGTCTAAGCAAAAAACTGGATGCTGTCCACGTGTTCAGGGGCTCAGGGCTGCAGAGATTACTCAGTGCACGTAAGGCCAGTCTGCTTGCTCTGCAAGGACACAGGCTGAATAACAGGGCCAGAGGGGTCCCGGAGGCTGTCCAACCCAACCCCTAACATAGCATCGGCAGAAGAGCTTCAGAGGGGAGAAAAGACCCACTGTGCAGCTGCAACTGTGAGCTTAGGCCCAGCCATGCTATTTGGACTTTAAGTACAATCATCATGATTTTAATGATCAAATGGTTAAGAAAATCAGCAGTGACTGGCATAGGGTTTTATAAGTGCAGACTTCTTTGTCACATCTTTGTAATAAAGCAAAGACTGTCATGCTGTAAGTCAGCTGAAGGCAACAGATACATCCACACTTTCAAAAGTGCAGAGCTGGGTGAGAGCCGGTGCTGTGGTGTAGCAGGTGGGGCCTCCACCTGCGGTGCTGGCATCCTGCACCAGTTCGGCACCAGTTTGAGTCCCGGCTGCTCCTCTTCCGATCCAGCTCTCTGTTATGGCCTGGGAAAGCAGTGGAAGATGGCCCAAGTGCTTGGGCTCCTGCACCCACGTGGGAGACCTAGAAGAAGCTTCTCGCTTTGGAACGCCCCAGCTCTGGCCATCTGGGGAGTGAACCAGTAGATGGAAGACCTTTCTAATTCTTTCTCTCTCTCTCTCTCTCTCTCTCTCTCTCTGCCTCTGTCTCTCTGTAGCTGACTTTGAAATAAAAAATGTTTAAAAAAAGTGAAGAGTGGGGAGGAGGTGTTTGGTGCAGAGTTGCGTGGCTTTGGGAAGAGTACCCAGTTTGAGGTATACCAGGTATTTGGTTTCTGATCCAGCTTCTTGCCTGGTGTGCACCCTGGGAGACAGCAAATGATGGCTCAAGTACTTGGGTCCCTGCCACCTACGTAGGAGACCTGAATTGAGTTCCTGTCTCCTTCCTGGCTTTGACCTGGCCTAGCCCTGACTATTGGGGGCATTTGAGAAGTATACTGGCAGATGGAAAATCTCTCTTTGCCTTCTGCCTCTCAAAATAATTTTTTTTGAAGAGTGAGGCAAGAACACTGTTTCACGGTACCAGGTGGTGATCTTGTTGCTACTTCCTAACTTGTTTCTCTTGATTTGCTCAAGGAAAGGACCCTTTACCCATTTCCTTATTCTGAGGCTACCAAAAAGGGTGGATTTCCGAGAGGAAATGTTTGCAGCTGGGTCTAGAACCTAGCCAGTCTCTGAGTGCCTCCTGATTTCTGTCACCTCCCTGGTTCTCTCTGCAGACTCCAGATTGTTGCTGCCTACAGCCCACCTCCACAGCTTCCTGCCCTCTGTCCTCCTGGTTGTCCCCTGTCTCCCCTTTCTCTCCCTTCACTGTCCCCTCTCCCCTCCTGTTCTCTGTACCCCACAGATTGCTTTTGCCCCTCTAATACTTGGCTGACTGTGGCATGGAACCCTAAGGCTTGGCAGGACAGGTGAAGCTGATTCTGTAGGACAATGGAAGTTACAGTGCTAGAGAGTGGTAGGAAGAATTCATTACCTCTCATAGAAATGTGCATCTCAAAGCTATGATCCCCCAACCCTAAAATGCATTTCCCGCAAGAGTGGGAAAAACAACTTTGCTTTTTGGAATGACACACTGAGTTCTGCAAGCCACGTAAGTGATACCTCCCATCCACCACACAACGGGCGAGCCCTGACCCCAATTCCTCCTCCTCCTGGTTTTCTGGAGGAAAATTAAATCATGTTTATTCCAGCCATGTTTTCTATGAGCATTTATGTGAATCTGCTAATGAATAGGACTCCTATCTTTTTTATGTAATTCTTTTCATGAACAAGAGGAACTTAATATATAGTGGCTTATGATATAGTAGTATTATGACTGATGGAATCAGTAGTCTTTCCTAGCATTCAAAAGCTGCTTACAAAGTCTTACTGGGGGCAGGGATTTGGCCTTATAAGATGCCTGTGTCCCATATCAGATTGCTTGGGTTGGATTCCTGACTCCAGCTTCCTGCCAGAGCAGACTCAGGGAGGCAGCAGGTGATGGCTAAGGTAACTAGGTTCCTGCTGCCCATGTGAGAAACCTGCCGGCTCCTGGCTTCAGCCTGGCCCAGTCCTGGATGTTGTGGGCATTTGGGAAGAGAATCTCATTTTATTTGTGTATCTTTGTTTCTCCTTCAGACTTTAAAAAGAGAGAGAGAGGAGAGGGAGAAAAACAGATCTTCCATGTGCTAGTTCACTCCCCAAATAGCTGCAATGCCCAGGGCTGGGCCAGACCAAATCAAGGAGCCAGGAGCTTCATCCAAGTCTCCCATGTAGGTAGCAGGGACCCAAGGATTTGGTTCATCTTCTGATGCTTTCCCAGGTACATTAGCAGGAAGATGGATAAGAAGTGGAGCAGCCAGGACACAGGGGAGGCCGGTGTTACAGGCAGCAACTTTATCAGCTATACCACAATGGTGGCCCCTATCTGTATAACCATATAGAGGCCCTGTGAGGACTTAGATTTGGTTGTAAGAAACCAATTAATTAAAACCTCTGTGAAAGTCATTTCTTTAGCCTTTACCCAGTCGAAACAACAAATAGGTTTCTCTGCTGCCTGAGGTTTCATGCTTCCGGGGAACTGGCTTTAAAGGTGCAGTTGTCAGTGTGGCAGTGGCCACCAGCTCCAGGGAATGTAGGGTGTGCTGTCATCTTTTGAGACGCTTTATGGCCGCTGATAGTAATGGGTAGTCTGGTACTCGGGAGAATTTTAGAAGGCACTGCTCACTCTGTGGTGAACAATTAACAAATGGTGGCTGCATCTGGAGTTTTGGATCAGGGCAGACCCAGGGCTAAATCCTAGGAGAGCTCCTTACTAACTATGATTGTGGCCAAGCCACTCAGCCTCTCTAGCTGCAAAACTGGGTCAATGAGTCCCTTTTCACAGGGCTGTTTGGAGATGTAGATGAGATGCCCATACAGAGCTTGGCACAGAGAGGAGCAAGGGCTAGCAGGTGAATGAGTCTAACATTTTGGTAAATCCCCAAAGAGGTGCATTTGGGTCTACTTACTTGCCATCTCAGAGTGGTTTGTTAGCATAGAGATTACAGATTGATCCTTTAAGCCTTGGAATTCCTGAGGGGTGGACACGGGGGCTCAAAAGCCTTGGATGGCTTGAATGTCTCCTATTTTGGCACCTAGGATTCTTCCCCCAGGTCAGAATGTTTGATGGTTGCCAGGCAGAGGGTTCCATGTCAAGAGCACACTGTAGGTGAATGGGTTGGGTAGGCACCTGTGAGTCCTCTCAATACCGTGATCAAGTGCTATTTCCTTTCAATGATAATTTACTATTAATTTAATTTTCATTCTACTTTTCATTCCTGCTGTTCCATGATCTTCTCCTGACCCCAGCCACCCGCCCCTCCTCTCTGCTGTTGCCCCTCCCCATTCTCTATCCACCCATCAGAAGGGAAGCAAGGAAGAGGCCAAGTCTCCAGAGGTGTGCAGATGTTCCTCTCGGCCCAATCTGGGGCTTGTTGCTCTGAGCCGGAGAGCGAGGGTGTGGGTGTGCTGAGATGAAGTTGTTCTAGTGCCTGGTCCACCCTGGGGAAACACAAGACTAGAAACAGCTAACGGAGAGCTTACCTATGTAGGGATTCACATCTCCCGTGGTGTAAGAAGGTTTTGGGGCCCAGGGTGATGACTGGGCCATTGCCTGAATTTCCAGCCTGGTTCACTTCAACTCATTGAAATGAAGGGAAGTAAGACGTCATACTGCAAACTGAGGATGGGCTAACTTAGTCACCCTTGCTAACATGGATAGTGGACAGCAAGGGGCCTTTCTGTAGAAGCTGTTGGTTAAATGCATGCTCTGTACATTGTTTTGGTCACCTGCCAGGGACACCCCTTCGTGTGGCAGAGGGTGCTGGCAACAGAAGGATGACTGCTGGTGGGACTGTCCCACCTCTCTTCCAGCAGGTGGGCAGCTGCTTTGTCAGGGCTGCGTGCTGCAGGCCTGGCTATCTGCACGAGGGGAGGTTGAGGAGCCTTGAAACCAGGGGAGAGGTACCTCAGTATTGACTTGCTCTTCCTTCCTCCAGGGTGGAAATAACCTGGGGTGAATTGAGTTGGTGGATTTGTTTCCTTTTAAACAGGCCTTTCTCATAAAAGGTGATGCAGAACTCCCCCACTTTCTTAATCCTTTGTAAGGCTGAACTAATGCTTAACAGGTGGACTTTGGATAGGGTGGAACTCTGGATGGTTCCTGCCTGTTCAGAGCTTGGGCTAGAAGAAAGGCCTTAAAGGAACCTTAGTTTGTTTCCATTGAAGAGCAGCAGAGAGGCTGGGACTCTGTGTGATGTTGGAGGGAGGGAGCAGGAAGCATCCTCCTCACTAGTGATCACTGTGCCATCTCCCTCCTCTCCCCACCTCTCCATCTTCTTCCATCCTGGCTCTGAGAAGCTTCCTTAACCACAGGAAGGGAGAGGAGAGGACTGCAGGGACTTGATGTTGTAGGAGCTGTCTTTATCCCACACCTGATCTTCCACCTTCCCACCTTGGTTCCAGTATTTGGAGTGAGCCCAGCGTTCTTCCTGTGTGCTTGGCACATGTCGGGTCTTACTCTCTGTAAGGATGGGCTCTACCATGTTGGGGTCCGGTGAGAGAGTATCCTCCTTGGGCCTTGCAAGGTGGGCCTGTGGGGCAACGAGGAAGAGAGCAAAGTATTGGCCACCAGGGGCGCACATGGGGCTTTGCGGGGGCTGCCAGGAAGAACTTTTACTCAATAACCCCAGATTCTGAGATTCACAGGGAAGATGCCCTCTCTAGGCAGAGCTTGATGTTCTTCTTCACCTCATCCATTTCTCCTTCCCCTTAGAAAGATGGGGTGATCATGTTGGCCTGGGAGACAAGCCCAGCATGGATTTTTGCCTGGGTATGAATGTAGCTCCCAGCTCCACTGTGACTCATAAATTGAACTTAATCCATCTTCTGCCCCACGCCCTCTGCTTCCTAGTGCCTCATGTTCCTGCTGGGTTATAATAGTCTTTCCACCCTGCCTCACCCATCCCCTGCCTGTCAAGGTGGGTGAAATGGCCACATGTATGACTTCCACATTTTGTATATTCAATGGCACTTACATATATCAGTCTACTCTCAGCTCCACCCCCTTTGCTCGTGGAGGTAACAACTGTGAAAACACACTTTGAAAGGAGAACAGGAAGAGGGGAATGTGGGCGGTCCCTGCCGGCAGGATACTGGAAATCTGGCTCTGAGCTTTGTACTCTGTTGATGACACCTTGCGTGGAACACGCTGACCAGCTCGGCCAAGTTCAAAGACCAGCCTGTCTCACAAATGGGAATTGCAGATGGGATGCTGGCAAACCTGGCCCTGCTTTCTATATGAGGTGAGCTTTGTTTCACTGCCACCAGCAGGCCTTTCCTAGCCAGCATATTTCATCATCAGAGCCTCCGTTATTTCTGATCTTGTCCATTGTCCCTTACCTCCCATTGTTGAAGGAGTCATTGATGTGTCCTTTGACCCTCTTGGCCCTTTCTGGAATGCTGCCCCACTCCTTGGGTGCTTTGCCACTCTGCTCATGGGGCCCCCACAAGCATCCGTTTCATGGATGAGGACGTGGAGATAGGTGATCCGACCAAGGTCACAGAGATTGGTGGTGGCTAGGAAGGAAATCTCAGGTCTCCTTAATGCTTGGTCTGGTGCCTTTTTCGTCATACCACACATCTTGAGGGAAAAAGGTAGGGTGAGGTAAGGGCCGTGGGAATAGAAGACCTGGGTCAGGTTTACCTGAACCTAATCCCGGTGGAAATTGGGTGACATGTGCCATGGGTAAGAGGGGAACTTATCCATTGTCATTGATATGGGGACAGCAACACTGTCTGGTACTGGGAACCCACTACATGGTCACCATCTGTGGCCCTTTAGAGGGGACTTCCATACTGGAAGAGCACAGCTGGCTCCTGCTACGTTTCCCTGAACTGACAGGCGAGAACCAGGGGCCTTGCCCAGAGGAGCTCCCTGGGGACTCATGGATGAGGCCAATATGTCCATTGCCTGCACCCCAGCCTTGGCCCTTGGCCCCACTGGGTGGCCTCTTGGTAGAGGCTCTCCTCCTCCATTCAGCCTTGTGACTTGCACTATAGCTGCTGCCGCTGCTGTTGGGCCCAGTACTGGGACACATGGCTTGCGGGAGGGCCTTTGTACCATGCTATGATATTTTGTCTCTTGCATCTCTAAGGGCTGCTCTCATTTTTTTAAAAAAAAATTTTCCCTTTTATTTGAATGGGAGAGGGAGAGACAGAGACAGATCTTCCATCTATTGGCTCACTTCCCAAATGCCTACAACTGCTGGGGCTGAGCCAGGCTAAAGCTGGGATCCAGAAACTCTATCCAGGTCTCCCACATGGGTGTCATGGACCAAATCACTTGAGCCATCATCTCTTGGCTCCCAGTGTGTGCAGTAGCAGAAAGCTGAATGGGAAGCAGAGATCCATGCCTTGCACCAAGCACTCCAGTATGGGATGTGGACATCCTGATGGGCGACTTAACCACTGCGTCAGATACCTCCGACTGTTGATGGACAGTAGAACTCCACATCTTTAAGAAATGGAAAAAGCCATGACTTCTCCTCCTTGTCTTCTCCTGGCCTGTAGCAGGCACCCGGCATGCAGGGCTGAATCAGTGGTAGCTGCTATAGTTGTCTTTGCTGTTGCCTTTATCCCTCACAACAATACTGAAAGCAAAGTGATGTATTCCCCCACTCTCTTTCAGATGAGGATCCAGGCTTAGAAGAGAAGCTGACTGGTCATGCGGGCAGGCAGTAGGATTCGGGCATGATCAATCTGTCCAGATACATATCAGGGTGCTGCTGTCTCCTGAGAAGCCGAACCAGCTGGCTGCTTTCACCTCCTTGGTTAAATTTATTCCTGGGTAGTGTACTTTTCCTAGAGATATCATGCATAGGATTGTTTTCTTTTGTCTGATAACTCGGAGCCAGTGTTGTGGTGTAGTGGGTCAAGGCAATGCCTGCAATGCCGGCATCCCATATGGGTGCTATTTTGTGTCCTGGCTGCTCCACTTCCGACCCACCGTCCCTGCTGATGGCCTGGGAAGGGCAGCAGAAGATGGCCCCGAATGCCTGGGACCCTGCCACCTGGGAGACCTGGAGGAAGCTCCTGGCCTTGGCCTGGGCCAGCCCTGGCAGCTGTGGTTATCTAGGGAAGTGAACCAGCATATGGACAATCTTTCTTTCTGTCTTTCCCTGACTATGTAATATTAACTTTCAGATAAATAAATCTTAAAAAGAAAAAAAGGGGGCCAGCGCTGTGGCGCAGTGGGTTAAAACCCCAGCCTGTAGCACCAGCATCCCATATGGGTGCCAGTTTGAGTCCTGGCTGCTCCTCTTCTGATCCAGTTCTCTGCTGTGGCCTGGGAATGCAGTAGAAGATGGCCCAACTCCTTGGGCCCCTGCACCCTCATGGGAGACCTGGAAAAAGCTCCTGGTTCCTGGCTTTGGATCGGATCAGCTCAGCTCAGGTCGTTGTGGTAATTTGGGGAGTAAACCAGGAGAATGGAAGACCTCTCTCTCTGGCTCTATTTCTTTCTGTAACTCTGTCTTTCAAATAAATAAAGTAATTCTTACAAAAAGTGAGGAACTTTTTTTTTTTTATTTTGCAGACTATTTGTTTATTAGTTCAGTCTTTTGGTGGCATCTTGTACAATTTGTACCTTCTTCATTTCTGATTTGGTGCCTTTTATTTCTTTGTCTTGCCTAATTGCTTTTAATAGGACTTCAAAATTGTGTTGGGTAGAAGTGGAGGGAATGGGTATCCTTTCAATTGCTTTCAGCTGTTCTCTAAGTATGATGCACTCTGTGGGCTGGTCATATATGGCCTTTATTGTGTTGAGCTACGTTTCCTGTATACCAAATTTATTGAGAATTTTTATCATGAAAGGATGTTAATTTTTTTTGTTTTGCCTGCAGCTATTGAGATGATCATATATTTCCTCTGTAATTCTGTTATGTGGTATGTTACATTTATAGATTTGTGCATGTTCAATCGTCCTTGCATGCCAGGCAAGAAGCTACTTGATTATGGTGAATGTTGAATTTGATTTTCTAGTATTCTGTTGAGAATTTTTGAAATTGCTCACTAGTGAGTTTGACCTGTAATTTTCTTTTCTGGGAGT